TGGGTCTACAAGAGTTTAGAGATGGGTCTTCAAGAGTTCAGAGGTTCTTCTTCAATAGTTCAGAGGTTCGTCTTCAAGAGTTCAGAGGTTCTTCTTCAAGAGTTTAGAGGTTCGTCTTCAAGAGTTTAGAGGTGCGTCTTCAAGAGTTCAGAGGTTCGTCTTCAAGAGTTTAGAGGTGGGTCTTCAGGAGTTTCTGAAGACAGACAGGGACCTGCTGTTCTTGTAGCTTGGTAGGTGGTTCCACCATCTTGGAACGACACATTAAACAGTCTGGATGGTTAGGGTTAGGGTTAGGGTTAGGGTTAGCGTGGTGAAGGCTCTGCTAGACCACAGTCCACTGATGACCAGAGTGATAGGGTTGGGACATAAGCCTTTGCAAGAGGATTCAACTAGATGGGAGCCGTAACCTTAAGCACTTTGTAGGCTAGCATTAGCACTTTGTAGACTAGCATAAGGACTTTGTAGGCTAGCATTAGCACTTTGTAGACTAGCATAAGCACTTTGTAGGCTAGCATTAGCACTTTGTAGACTAGCATTAGCACTTTGTAGGCTAGCATTAGCACTTTGTAGACTAGCATTAGCACTTTGTAGACTAGCATTAGCACTTTGTAGGCTAGCATTAGCACTTTGTAAGCTAGCATTAGCATTTTGTAGGCTAGCATCAGGGACTTGAGTTTGATTCGAACAGCCAGAGGAAACCAGTGGAGTTCAATGAAGAGAATCACTGATCTAATCCGGAGCTTTTTCTCAGGCGCTGTCCATGATTCTGGCTCGCCGTCTGTCCAAGGAGAGGCCAAACGACGGGGTGAGCACGTTTTTTAAATAATGATAATGATTTATTTAGTTGCACTGCTTTTATTTTATTGTAAATCATTATCTTCAAAAGCTACTGGAACCAGAATTTCCCTTGTTATGGAAAAATGATTTAAATGAGTGAGACAAAGTTTCTTAATGATCTTAATGATAGAGAAGATCGATCTTGTCCAATAAAGGTGGTTTTTTTAAGTGTTAACACGATTCTTTAGTTGGAAACCTGAGAATAAACCAGAGTGGGTCAAAAGTATAAAAAATGACATTTATTTATAGACATGAATTACGATTGGCTAGGCTCCGTCAAATCAGTCAGCCGTCTTCCCTACTGGCAAACTCAAGCTGACTCCCGTAACTAGGATACCGTAAACTTCCTGTCTAACGGGTTGTCAAAATAAAGGTCTCGCAAAAACGTTTTTATAATAAAAGCAACATAACATCGTATGCTTTTCTTCGAGTATCCATGTTGAGGGTGAGTATTAATGACTGATTTACAAGACTGTAAATAACTGTGAAAGTGAGAATTATGTATCGCACAATTTCATTGGACCTCTGTGAATACACATCAATTTTATTGGTCTGTTTTTCGCGTAATGAAAAAAAAACATGTATTAGCCGCACTGTATTATAGGCCGCAGTGTTCAAACGACGGGAAAAAAGTAGCGGCTTATAGTCCGGAATTTACGGTAACTTAGTTTGGATAAAGGAAAGGAAAAGGCCACTCTATTTCTTATCAGTAACAAACAAAGAGATTCTGATTTACATCTCAGTCCTTAAGGGAGGTCCCATGGAGAATCTCCAAAAGGACAGGAAGTCAAATGAGTCCTTATTCCAAGTAGAGGCCAAACAAGGGAGATTTAAGCATAATATTCCCCTTTTTTTCCTCCATAACGTGTATAGTGGCGATTGTTTGTCAAACCAAACATCCAAAAAAAAAAGGTTCCTCAAGTCACTAAGAGGCACTGGGGTCCAGTTTCTGTACGCAGGCAAAAGATTTCACATCCAAACTTGTTGATTATTCTTGAAGGTTTATTGGTTCTTTCTAGCAACAATTACAGAGTTCAAACTTTCCTTTGTTCCCATTCTGTTCTCTTGCTCTGGCTCTTGCTCTGGCTCTTGCTCTGGTAAAAACCATAGGCCCCCAAACCCAAATGCCTTGCTGGTCCTTTACCAGGCCCCTATACTTATAGGAAAGTGGACTGGTCCTTTACCAGGCCCCTATACTTATAGGAAAGTGTACTGGTCCTTTACCAGGCCCCTATACTTATAGGAAAGTGGACTGACCCACATGACTTCCTGTCTAACTCAAAGAATGAATACGAAAAATAATAAGACAAGAAATTAAATAGAATCAACAATTATTAACCTGCAAATAAATACTGTAAATAATACAAAATATATACATTTAAGAATTAACTAACAAAATTCAAATGAATAAAGAAATAAAGAATATGTAGTGGCACTCTGCGTCCCAAAAGTTTGTCGTACCACCTTTGCAGTTTGTCTAGCAACCAATATCTGAATCACTCGACTGAAACCAAGTCTTCTTTTACGATATTTACTTAAACAACTCAAAAAAGTACACTTGCAGAAAAAATAAAATAAATAAAAGGCTCGGTACAGATCGGTCAAAAAATTGTGCTGCTTCCACCGTATCGAACTGCAATCTGAACTTAAACGTGCATACGGGCAATATTATTGTTACGCATTACGTATTTGAAGCCAAATTACTTTTCACAATAAAAGCATCATTATACATCTTTAATCTAAATTATTATTCTATATGAACTTCCCATTAACTGGCTCTTACAGAATAAATAGCTCCAACAACGTGTTCACAAAGCTTCCTGGGTCCAGTAAAGCCTCCATAGTGACCCCTGTGTTTCTCTAAATTCAGATCCTGCTGAACGCCTGCTGTCCCGGGTGGGTTCGCACAGACATGGCCGGCCCCAAAGCCCCAAAGTCCCCAGAAGAGGGCGCCATCACCCCGGTTTACCTGGCCCTGCTGCCGCCCGGCGCCGCCGAGCCTCATGGGAAATTTGTGTCCGATAAGGAGGTCCAGACCTGGTGAAAACGTGTTTTTATACCTGCAGAAAGCGAGAAATAACAGGTTTAATGGGGCCTGCTGCTTTAAACACAACAATATGTGGACGAATAGGATATTCGGCCTTAAGAGCTTTACATTTTTCATTTATTATGTAAAAAAGATCAAGTTGCCTTAAAGTGGTTTGAAGCCAAATGAACTGAAACGGATCAAATAAAATGTTTTCTACAAGTTTGTCGAGATATCGTGTTAATTTCACGTCCAAACGAGTTGAATTCCAGAAGAGGAGCGGGAAAAACTGAGGAAAAAACGTGGAAAAATGGAGGAAAGCTACAAAAAAAAACAGGTTTAATGGGGCCTGATGCTTTAAACAAAACAATATGTGCACGAATACTCAGATAAAAAAGGATATTCGGCCTACAGAGCTTTACATTTTGATATGTTACGTAAAAATGATTAAGTTGCCTTAAATGGTTTGAAGCCAAATGCTTTGAAACGGATCAAATAAAATGTTTTTCTACAAGTTTGTCGAGACTTTGTGTTTATTTCACGTCCAAATGAGTTGAATTCCAGAAGAGGAGCGGGAGAAACGGGGGAAAAAACAGGGGAAAAACGGAGGAAAGCTACAAAAAAACAGGTTTAATGGGGCCTGCTGCTTTAAACACAACAATATGTGAACACATACTCAGAAAAAAAAGGATATTCAGCCTTAAGAGCTTTACATTTTGATATGTTACGTAAAAATGATTAAGTTGCCTTAAAGTGGTTTGAAGCCAAATGCTTTGAAACGGATCAAATAAAATGTTTTTCTACAAGTTTGTCGAGACTTTGTGTTTATTTCACGTCCAAATGAGTTGAATTCTTGAAGAGGAGTGGGAAAAATGAAGGAAAAACGAGGGAAAATGGGGAAAAACAGAGGAAAGCTACAAAAAAACAGGTTTAATGGGGCCTGCTGCTTTAAACACAACAATATGTGGACGAATACACTCAGAAAAAAAAGGATATTCAGCCTTCAGAGCTTTACTTTTTCATATGTTACGTAAAAAAGATCAAGTTGCCTTAAAGTGGTTTGAAGCCAAATGCTCTGAAACGGATCAAATAAAAAGTTTTTCTACAAGTTTTTCGAGATATCGTGTTGACTTCACTTAAAAATTAATTGAATTCCAGAAGAAGAGCGGGAAAAACGGAGGAAAAAATGAGGAAAAAGTGGGAAAAATGGGGAAAAACTGAAGAAAAAGATGGGAAAGACAGGGAAAGACAGGGAAAAATGGGGAAAAAAGGGGAAAAAAGGGGAAAAACTGGGTGAAATGGGGAAAAACGGGTGAAAATGGGGAAAAACAGAGGAAAAAATTGGGGAAAACGGAGGAAATACTGGGAAAAATGGAGAAAAAACGGGAAAAATGGGGAAAACTTTGAGTGTGTATAAACCCACTAATGGAGTGGAGACGGGGCCAAAGTGGAGCCTTTCTCATTTTAAACCGGTTCAGTAAACGTAAACTCTTCTTAACACAAACATCCTTTCCCGAAAGCAAGTCATGGTGGGTGGAACCAGAGTCCATCCTCCTCTTTATTCCCCAAAAGTTAACCCTTTATTCCCCTCCTGATGTCGTCTTCTGATTAAAAAACGCGAGCAGAGGAGGCTGAAACCATTAGAAAACATCACTTTTAATATAAATCATGGTCACACATCTGTTTAATAGTTTGTTGTTTACGTTTTTAAGCTCTGAATGGATCACAACAGAAGATAAAATAGCTAAAATGGCTCTAAAATCCAGCATTTTACAGAAGTAGCTCTTAGCTGGACGCCTGTCTCCAAGCAGAAATGAGCCGGGATTCCCTAAAGAAAAGGAGATTTTGCATCTCAGCACCACCTTTTTTTGATAAATAACCAGAAAATGCTTTTTTTTTTTCCCCTCATAAGGAACATTCCTGTTTCGGGTCAATAGCTGGACGGTGGATGGACATTTTCAGTGTTTTAGACACCAAAATGGGGCCAAACTTGCGTGCATTGGCATGTTTTTTCTGGCCTCAAAGTCAGATGAATGTTGAAATAACTAAATACTGCACACCTAAAATACAAAAGGCCTAACCCTAACCGCAATCCTAACCGTAACCCTCCTGAAGAGGAAACCGGCAGAACCTGTCCCAGTGACTGACCAGAGTCTGAACCCTGTTCAGTTTAAATAAAACAAACACCAGCAAACGCCTGATGAATCGGTGTTCGGCTTTGGTTCGTTTCAGCTCCCTGCAGAACGATTCGTGTCTCAAAACAACAGAAAAGAAGCCGAACGGGTAAATAAATGGTTGTTTTCTTGTGGTTCCAGCTGGCTGAGTGACTCAGCAAATTTAAATAAAGCAACTCCGAATTTGTCTGGTGTTATTTACTTCATTCATTTTTATTTTAATTTTAAAGAGAAACAGGTACATTAGTCCGATAAAGGTAAAAAGGTATATTACGACCTAATACAACATAAAGGAACACATAGAAACAAAACAAAACAACAAAAAACAGCTTGTGGCTTTACAGAACTCTTACTTACTTCATTAATTACGAAATAATTACATAATTAATTTCAAGGGAAAGTCCACATTAAGGCGAGTGCATCCAACTGCAAAATGGCCGTATTAATTCATTAAATTAAATGATTTCTGCAAAATGGCCGTATTACTTAATTACAGAAAGTTAAATTATTTTATTTCTAACCTTTTCTGTTGATAAATAAGGCAAATTAACAGCAGTTAAACAATGATGAGGGCTGGACTCCGCTCTGACGCACTGCGCATGCGCAGAGCTCCTTTCCGTATTTCGCCTCCTCTGAGCCAAAGACATAAATACGTATAAATACTTATATATCTATCTCTATACTCGGAGCCTTTTTGAGCAGTTTTCAGTCAGATTTCACCTCCAACCGGACCTGAACATCTCCCAGAAAGTAAGAAAAACGTTTAACCTCCTTCTGTCAGCGGTTTAATCCCCTGAGACGGTTTCCTCAATTAGTCGAAAAGTGGCGAAAGTGAGTAGTTTTATTTTTTATTTCTTATTCAATATGATCATCCAAGTTTTTTTAAAACAAGGACCAATTGAAAAAATTAGTTTTACTCAGCCTTTTTCGTTATGTTTGATTAACTCTGCTCAATT